CGCCCAGTTTACCCAGGCGGCCCTCTCGGGCCCAGCCGGGCGGCGTCCTCACTCAGAAAAATCCATTCAAATTTGAAGTCCTGATCAAACTCAAAGTTTTGGTTTCCTAGGGAAGGAAACTGCAAAAAACACACCATAAGCTGTGTCCACCCAAACTTATCCCTCTGCTGCAGCACATCCTTAGCTCCAAGCTGTTTCACAACAAATGTATCTGCACACAAGACATGGCAGTCACCGCGTGTACAGCTCTTTCATTAGGAAAAGCAGACATTGGAATAGGAGCCAAGATTAAAAAAAAGTTAAAAAAACGGACAGACTGATGCACAGGTGGAATGCATGGATGGATGGGGGGATGGATGGAGGGATGGATGGATGGACAGATGGATGGACGGATGGACAGACGAATGGACGGATGGACATGGATGCACAGAAGGACGCAGATGGACACAGATGGACACAGATGGACGGAGGGAGGGAGGGAGAGGGATAGCTGACTGGACAGATGGATCGATGGATGGATGAGCAATAACCTATACAGTTATCAGTCTGAGAAATCTGTTATTTTGGTGAGCAGATTCATGCGTTTGCTGAGATTCTGCATTTTACCCGGGTTTGGACAGATGCCAACTGAGATTTCTAAGATTTCCATGATAATGGCTTGTCTCTTATGAATCTCCTTTTTTTTTCTTTTTTTTTCTTTTTTTGTATGTGTGTTTTAGATTTTCCCCACAACAGCCCCAAATCCACCCAGGTGAATAGATTCAGAATCAAAGCAGTCTTTGTCCTATTGCAGACAACGAGAGCATTTGAGATGTCCAACATATTAAAGCAATTTTATAATTAGACAGTTTTTTGGTTGTCCTTGGGGCACCCCTTTCATTGTTCTTGCAGCTCCTCTTTTACTGTGCCTCTTACGCACAAGGCTTCCCACGTTGATTGTGGTTGAGCGGCAGCTGCCCACATCCCCGTGTGCCTTCACGGCCCACTTGCACGTTATTTCAGGAGGCAGAGTAAAAGGGAAGGTATGCTCCTTGTATGTGTGTGTGTGTGTGTCTTGTTTTAAAAGACCCCAGATTCTCTCTCTCATTCCCTTCACAAATCTTCACAAGCCATCCATAACAAAAAAGCATAGATAGGCAATACAACAGAAAATTGCAATCAGACTTGTTTCAAACTCGCTCAGCATGCATGCAAACAGATGATGAATAACTTGGCGCATGGTGCCCACACAAAGCTCGGAGATAAAACATGGCCAGGAACAAAGCTTAGATTCAAACTTGTCTCGAATGGCTATGGCGCCCTGCGCCAGACAAAGATTCCCACCCGATCAACTGTATCCACCAGCAACTTATTCGCACACACACACGTACTGTTACATGCACAGATATGCAATGTACGTAATAACCGAGGATCTGCAATGTGATGAAAAGGACTGAATGGACAATGCGGTGCGAGTAGAATCTCAACAAGCAATGTGCATTCTCATACATACAAAAGGTGCTGAATAGCGCAGGGAAGACTTAAATACAAAGACTGACCTGACCGGGACTGACCTCATTCACGTAGTACAAACTAGCGAAGCAGAATGCTAGAATGCTAATAACTAGCCCAATCAATGTTTGAACTCAGACCAAACA